GGGGATCGCAATAAACGGACGCGGCGTGCGCTGGACGCGAGTGGACGCGAGTGATCGTTTCATTTCGGTCCCCCGACTCGGGAACAAAACGCCTCGCACGTGCGCGACAAGATGACCTGCATTATCATCCATTTAGCATGTTCGTTTCGCGTTTGTCTATTGCACTTTTTAGCGCTCTCGCACGAGTCATAGCCTAGGCTGTCTCTCCGTGCCTCTCGCGTCCATCCGGAGGACGGTTCTCTCCTGCTTCTTTCTCGGTTCTTGAGAGTCTTTAGAGAGACCGGCGGGAGCTAAATATTGATTGCATAAAAGTGCCGTTAGGCATTGTCCGTTCTATTTGCGCTTTTCTGCATTTTAATTCGGAGAAATCATGTTTGCTCGTCAGATTATTTTTAGAGTCTTTCTTGCGGACATAGATGGAAATAATTGGCCTTATAACGATAGATACCCATTTAAAGTAAGAATATTAAAACGTTTTTAGAAGATTTTTAGTCTTCATTTGATTGAATTTGTAGCGACGCAAGTATTACTTGCACTCAATTCGAGACTGAAACTTTTCAGTCGAATATTATATCTTCGCTTGCATATGAAAATATCTATCGTCGATTTAAAAGAATTTCCTTTTTATGTACCCAACTCTGTACAGAACCGGATCTTGTAATTAAGGCCCTGAAAATGTATAATAAATAAAAATACGGATTCGTGCTGCACTCCAGATCATACATTTAAGGCACTTGGAATGCGGCACAAGTCCGTATTGTAGCTTATAAATTATTAAGAGCCTAATTGCAAAATCCGACTCTGTAATGCGCATTGTACTGCTGGCTCTTTGATACAATCGATCTTGGATTTTTGCTGAGCCTTAACGCGAGGTTGCGAAGCAAGTCGACTCGATATTACGTCGATCCCGCGCGCGGAAAATTAAGCGAAGCCGCAGGCGCGACTCGACAAGGCGAGCCAATACACACACACACACACACCCATATATGTATATCTGTGTGCGTACACAGTGCTAAAAAATGTCTCGAGGAAATGAATCGCTTCTTGCAGCATCCTTCGTATCACGGTGCGTTACCGTTAGCTCGGCCCTTGCGAACGCGCCGTCGAGTTTCTTTCCGTTCTTTTTCCCCGTGTCCGTAGATCGCGCCCGGTCATCTTCGTCGTCCGACCGCAACGAAGCGAACCCGTTCGATATTTCAACAGCGGGACACACAGGCGTAGAGCGAGAGAGCGGTTTCTCTATGGAACCGAGCTGCTCCGTTTCTCCCGAGCGACACATGAGACGCATATTAACGCGTTCCCGTGCCGTCAGTTTAGTTTCGACGTGAGAAAGGAAATCTACTTAAAACAGTTCGCGTGAAGCGAGCGAGGAACAGCTTACTCCGTGCGAAAAGCGAGGAGTGGGGAGCATCGTCCTGCTAATCGTGAATAGGTAAACTGGAATTTCCCGAAGGATCGCGCGCCGGAGTGCTCATTAAGGGCAACTCGTGAAAAACTCGTGAATTTTCTCCCCCCCCCCCCCC